AACAGGTGCCACGCTAGTAGTAACAAATGCCTTACTAGTAGTAACAATAAGCTAGTAGTAACAGGTGCCACGCTAGTAGTAACAAATGCCTTACTAGTAGTAACAATGTTCGCTATTAGAAACAAGTGCATCGCTACTAGTAACTTGAGAGGAGGGAGACACGAAAGGTAGGACAGCGGGAAGAGAAGAGAACGCGAGAGGCAGGAACAAAAATGCAATGTTCGACATGGTGATTTATCCCCTCGGAGGCGACCTTTCGTAAATATAATTTCATATGCACTCTAAATGTTCAAACATATGCTCTCGAAATGTTCAAAAATATTCTTAGGAAAACAAACTTGCCCCATGGCTCAGATCATCGGTAAGCATTGAATCGGAATTGAATCGGAGCATCATAGGATTTGAACTATCCTGAAACCATAAGAGGCTCACGAAGACGTTCCCCAGGAGAGAATTGACGTGCTTCACAAAACGAACTCTAGGTATGTATCCCCTCGGGGAACACCTTTCGTGATTAGAATTTCATATGCACTCTTTCTGAATGTTCAAAAGGGTTTCAACTATCCTGAAATCATGAGAGGCTCACGAAGACGTTCTCCAGGAGAGAATTGATTTTGTGGGGGGAGGGGGGGGGGGTGTTGAATTGAGTGATCAATTATTTGACCCGGACGCGCCAACACTTGCTTCGCAAGACAAACTCAAGGTATCCCCTAAAGGGCTACCTTTCGTGACAAGTGCCTTACTAGTAGTAACAAGAAGCTACTCGTATCTTTCACTTCTCATCTCTCTCGTTCTCACAACCCCGCACCGAATCGCACCACGTGGTTCCAACGGAGGACGCACAGAGCCAAACTCGCCGAAGGCGCCAATCGTCCCGTTGGAGAAGGCCCAAGAGAGCTGAATTCCGTCGCGTCGTGGTGCACTGCTCTCGATTTCGTCCTCGTCCTCTTCCTCGATCTCGTCCTCCTCCTCGTCCTCCTCTTCGTCCTCCTCGTCCGCGAAATCTTGCAGCTCTGCACCTTCCAAAATGACTCGAAGTGCTATGCCGCCTATCTTCATTGAGTTCTAAAACGTTGTGCAGGTGTGTTTTTTTGTTGCCACCTCAAGCAGTAAAAAACAAACATGTATGGCATCATGATGTGCATCAAGATGTATTATGTTCATGTTTCAAAACAAGTCCAGTCTCATTCTTGGGCTTATTCGATCGTGCCAATCCCTGATGCCGAGGGGCCATGTGTCTCTTGGAGCGGCAACGCTGCTAAAGGAGCCATGGCAAAGGCAACGCCAGCGATGAGAATGAAACCCTTCTCACCGACCTCGCAAATGCTCGTGTCGGAGGCCATCGCTGCGAACGGAGCGATCGGACGCTACGAACGGGGCTCCTGGCCTCATTACTAGGAGCAAGAAGCTACTAGGAACAAAGGGCATCGCTACTAGGAGCGATCGGACGCTACTAGGGGCCATTGCTCTTAGGTTGGAGGGGAGGTCGGCCAAAAAGAAAAAGTGCTTTCCATCCATTCGCAACAATGTCGCCTCATGCCATCTCTCTCTCAGCAAACCAAACGCCCCAAGAAACACTTGCAACAAAAACTGCGCTCTCTTCTCGTCTCATCTTTTGTGTATTCTCACGGAACCATCTCTCTCTCTCTCCTTTAAGTATCCTCTCTCTTCTAGGTTGGAGGCCATCGCTATTAGGTTAAATGCTCCTCTCTCTCTTTCTTTATCTCTCTTCTCTCATCTCGTGTTTGAGTTCTTCTCTCTTGTCACCTCTTTTTCTTCAGACCTTTGTTTCCTTTTCTCTTTAGACCTTAACTTTCCTCGAGCTTTCTTTCTCCGCTTCTTCTGATCCTTCTTCGTCTCTGTCGGACTAACCCAAACGACGGTCGTGTCTCTGAGTCTTCGACTGCTGTGAGGAGCAAAGGAGAAGTGACGGACCACAGAGTGCCAAAGAAAATCACGACGCCCGTGGCCGACGCACGGACCTAAACCATCACTACGAACGGAACAAGAAGGCTACGAACAGAACAAAGGGCATTACTAAGGTTACTAAGGATTAACATTGTTGCTTTCACTTCCTTGTATTCATAATACACCTACGATTAACTTCACCATTTTATTCTTTGGCCGCACGGACCTTTGTCGGAAAGGACTCTTCGCACCAAATCATCGCCACCGAGTATTCCAAGGTCCCAGACCTCGTTCCAGATAAAGAGAGAACACAAAGTGACAAATAATCAATGAACATCTCTTAGTGGCAGGCAACTTCGTCTTAACATAGTGGCTCTCACCCGTTTGGAAAACGGTCCCAGGCACAGTCCGGGCAAGTCTGGGTTTCCGGACATATGCGTAATGAGCATGGAAGTCAAAAGCAAGGCGCTCGAGTGCTCGAAGACAAGGATACAGGTCAGTCCAACACAGCCCAAGAATCCAGCAATCATGATGTAAATCTTATGGGATGCTGCATTTGATAAGGAGATCAATGCACAAAGGACACCAACAGGTATGCCAACACTCACAATGAACATGAGCTTGACGGCAGGGCCCACAGCTTCATGAAGACCTTCCAGCAAATAGCATCCAAAAGGATGACTACAAAATTCAAAGTAAAAAAACAAACGAACTGCTGGTTTCAACAAAAGCAATCAGAAGTACTTCTGAAAAACAAAGAGTTCAAACTTTGTAAAAACAATCAATTCCAACATGACTAAAATGATCTCCTCTCATTGGAGGCCATTTCTAGTAGGTTGGAGGCCATCGCTAGTGGGAGCAAGGACGCTTCTAGGCGCTCCTGGCCTTACTACTAGGAGCAAGAAGCTACTAGTAACAAAGGGCATCACCACTAGTAGCAAGGACGCTATTAGGTTGGAGGCCATCGCTCTTTGAAACAAAACATAACAAATTTGTCATTTGGCCTCCATGGGCTTCATGCCGCAAGAGTTCCTGTCGAGCTTCGTTCACGAGTGCGAGCTGCCGACCGTTTCAGACACAAAAAGAAGTTGCAAAAAGAGTTGAACGCAACTTTTCGTGCTCACTAGGAGCGATGCCCTTTGCTCCTAGTAGCTTCTTGTTCCTAGTAGTAAGGCCACGAGCCCCTAGTAGCGTCCTTGCTCCTAGTAGCTTCTTGTTGAACGCAACTTTTCGTGCTCACTTTGACTGAGGACTTTGCAGGCCAAACGTTGCTGAGCCCAAATGTCTCAATATTACCAGTGCTAGCCAGCACGGAGAATAAAGCAACCTGAAAGCAAGGTGGACCAAAGAAAAACCACAAACAAACACGGGCGGACTTTTCACTTCGCAATTCACATCGCAGTGTCCGCCTTCACATTGAAACATGTTTTCCCTTACCCCCCTACCCCAACCCTTCCCTTTCCTGCACACCTCCGAGCCCTCAAAAGCTACCAACCTGGACCCAGCGTAGTGGCCATTTGTAAACGCCCTGTCCATCTACGCCCGGCAGGCCCACTACAGGACGCTGCTAGGAACAAGAAGCTACTAGGGGTGCCTGGCCTTACTACTAGGAGCAAGGACGCTACTACGGGCTCCTGGCCATACTACTAGGAACAAGAAGCTATTAGGGGCTCCTGGCATCGCTACTACTAACAAGAAGCTATTAGAATTAAGGCAGGCCCACTACATCCATATCTGGCAGCTGAACAGCTCACTGCGGCTCAGAGTGGACGGTGGAGTAACGCAAACAATTTCACACTGCGATGACCTCCAACCTACTAGCGTCCTTGTCACTAGTAGTAATGCCAGGGGCTACTAGTAGCGTTCTTGCTTCTAGTAGTAAGGTGCCTTGCTACTAATAGCTTCAAAACCTTCCACGTCGCAGAGTCTTAGTGTAGCTTCCCCACAGCTCTTTCCCACGCCTCCTGTCTGTCCCAATTCTGCGGCCCGCAGGAAAATGATTTACAACGAGAACCCAAGCATCGGAGATGGGAAAAACACTGACCGAATGAAACTCTGTCGAAGAAAGCCAAGGCACCATCTTCAATATGTTCGGTTGTAGCAAAATCCTTGCGGAAGCATGAAGCAAAAGAAACATGTGCCAATTCTGTTCTCCAAACAACCGCCCAAACTCAACCACAGAGCCTGATGATTTCAGCCGGTGAGGCATGTTCAAAGGCTTTTCCTTGCCCAAGGTGTTGTCCTGGTGCATTCTCGCTACATTCAATCAAACCAACATCGTTCCAGGACTGGACTCCAGCGTGCCGATTGCTACCAATCACAACCTACTGGGGGTGGTCTCCACCCAGAAGCGATGGCCTCCCCAATAGCGGTTGCTTTAAAGACCCAGAAAAACAAAGAAACTACTCCTGGCCTCGCTACGAACGGGAGCGATCGGACGCCGAGTCATCGGGGCCGATGACATCGGCCTCTTGAATTGATCCCGGCCACGTTGTACAGGATCGACAAATCGTGGGAACATGCTGGCAGTGTCCCGAGTTTCTTCAACACGTCCAGCTTCCTCGCGTGTGAGACAGGAGTTTCTGAAGAGGTGGAAAGCTGATGAGAGCTGCAAGTTGGCATGTGCTCCAAAGGAATGACGAAAAACAACCGAACAGTGCAAGAACATTTACAAAAAAAGACAGTATACAAAGCAACCAGTGAAAACGAAAAGATCGAAGCAACCCATAAAAAGCGAAACACATCACTGACTAAGGGAACTGCTTTTGGACACCATCTTTTTCTGTCAAGGGCCCTGGGCTTGTCCCGCTTGCTGTCCATAGAATGACTCATGTGGCTCCCTCCCGTAGCAAAAGGACGTGAATGCGAGCTGATTGCTCTTCTTGCGCTGCTTCACATGGTTCATTGCTTGTCTTTTCGTTGTGTTCAGCCGAACATTTGGTTCATGAAGTAACTTCGAGTAGACACGTAAGTTACTTTGTAGACCAAAGGTTTGCCTAGTAAGGCACTTGCTTCTACTAGCTTCTTGTTACTACTAGTAAGGCACTTGTTACTACTAGCGTGGCACTTGTTACTAGTAGCTTCCTCCCCCCCCCCCCCCGCGCGAAAAGGTCCTAGTAGATTCCTTTGCTAGTAGGAACAAGTGCATCGCTAGTAGTAACAGGTGCCTTACTGGTAGTAACAAGAAGCTACTAGGAACGGGTGCCTTACTACTAGTAACAATTCTAATTAAATTGATTCTGTAATGCGCCGGGTAAGTATGGGAATGCCCAACTTATATTATCCAGGGGTGCCCTATTGAAGAAGTAGGCTAAGTCCCTAGCGGCCCGGGAAACAGACACGAAAGGGCGACCGGTCTCTGATGGACGGGAGCCCGTTGCGAAGGTGGATCGAACGAACGAAAGCGCGACGGCAATCGAACGAGCGAAAGGCAGGCAGGCAGAGTGCAGAAGCGAAAGCGACGAAAGCACGACCCCCACAGGGAGTACAGTGTGGCACCCTGCGAAAACGACGCTGGAACGCACCGTTTTCTTGAGCCATGAAGGTCGCGGTGGAACATACATTTTATGTGTGTTCTTGTGAGACGCGACTAGATAGAATGACTGTACATGTGGAGTACTGTTACATGTTAGGGGTCTGTAGAAAAATGACTAATTAAATTCTTGTTGTTACTGTGTTCATTTGGGTTCGTGGGTGCCATCTTCGGTCAACAATGCACTTGTTACTACTAGTAAGGCACTTGTTTCTAATAGCTTCTTGTTACTGGAAGTAAGGCACCTGCTACTACTAGCGTGGCACTTGTTACTACTAGCTTCTTGTTTGCCTTTCTTTTTTTCGTTTGGCCTTTCTTTCCACGTGCCGAGCGGCTGGTTCATGCGGGCCATCTGTTCCAACACGATTCGCGCTTCGACAAGATGCCCTCGCACAGCCAACCAATGTGCGCTTTCTTGCAGCCGCGCCAGGGATGAAAGCCTTGAAACAGAGATGAAAAAGCACGTCAAACGAAGGCGTCCAATCTAAACATAGAAAATCTGTCATTTTCTCATCTTTTTCATCTTTCTTTTATCCAACGTCTTGTTTTTGCCTCTTGCATCCGGAAGGCAACATCAGAAAAGCCGGTAAAGCAGACCACAGAACTGCCTGTTTCCAGGATGTGCTTTCGGTTAAGGAGGGCATGAAAATGATAAGGCCAAGGGCAGCATAGGTTTCGCCAACGGCTGTGAAGCTCCAGAAGATGATAAACATGAAAGGCCGCCAGTCACTTGGCATGATCTCTGCGATCATTGACATAGCTGGTGGCACTCCAACACCACATGCGATACCATGAAAGATCCGAAGGAGTACCATGGACTTGTAGCCGGACGCCAGCGTCATGAAGAGGCCTACGAGGCTGATCCCCAGGTAGCCGAGAACGATCGGCAAGCGTCGACCCTTCAGATCCGCGAGAAAACCGGCCACATAGTGTCCAATGGCCAGGCCCGAAAAGGAAAAGGCGTCCTGCGAGATCGGAACAACGGTTTGGGAGATCGAACAAAAGAAACAACGTGGGTTGTTCGTCTCCAACCCCTTAGCTACCTTAGCTACGTTCGTAGCGAAGCTTGTTCCGTTCGTAGCGAACCTTGTTAGTAGCTTGGCCAGGAGCGCTACGTTCGTAGCTTCTGGTTTCCTAGTAGCGCTGCCCTTTGTTACGTTCGTAGCGATGCCAGGATCAACAATTCCTCAACTGCGATGATGTCTTTCACCGGTGCAACTTCGTTCAAAGATCACTTCACTCGTTCGGTGAAACTGTCCAGGCTTCCAGCTTGCCAATTTGAGAAGTGAAACTCATGCTTGAGAGCGTGCGTGATATTGGTCATAACCTCATCGATCACAAGAAGCAAACTTTGAAACCGAATCCGATGAGAACTGAACATCCAGTGTTTCCTGCTCTTTTCGCATTTTGCTCAAAGTCCGGTTTTCCCAGTGACCTCTCGTGTTTCTTTCGTCAGCTTCCCAGTCATCGAGTCGTTTGATGACAGACTCACCAAGTGACAATCATGCCAGCGTCTTCGGCCAGTGGCGTGAAAACCAGAATGACGAAGGTGATCAAGTGATACCTCGTCACATTCAGAAACCAAACATCGAATTCTGGCGAGGTCATTGTGAAGTCTTGGGTGAATTGTTAAACACTATTCAGGATCGGCAGTGTTACTTTTCTTCAGACTCAGTTGTAAGGTTGAACATCTGAGGCCGCTTAGTCTATCATTCCTCTGAATGAAGACGTGCGTTTTCGTGACGTCCTTAAACCAAAACTCCGTCCCATGCCGATCTCATTGATGATTTCCGGAAGCCGTTGCGACGTCAGCGGAAGAGACTTCTTGCGCTTTCCCGTCTGCCGTTCGGCTCGAAGCTCCAAGGTCATTTGGGATCCTCGCAATGTTTGTGACAGAAACTCAAGCATATGGCTTGCAGGGAAGAATGGTCTAAAGACGATGTCTAAAGAGAAGGAAAAAGAAAGAAAGGTCCAAAGAGACAAACAAGCTCCAAGCAGTCTCTCAATTCCTGTGTTTTCTCTCCTCTTCGCTTCAACGAGACCACGCTGCCTCGTGTGTCCATCCTTGGCCACGGTGCTAAGAGGGCAAAGGGCATTGGAGGCGTAATTTTTCCTACGTTTATCATAGCAAGGAAGCTACTCAATGCGACAAGAGGGACAGGGTGCGAAATGGGTCCTCACTTCGAGAGAAAACAAGAAAATCAAGAAACAACACATGTCGGAAAGGTCTAAAGATAAAAACAAAGATGACAAGGTCTACAGAAGGAGAAACAGGTGACACACAAGCAAGAACATATCAACAAAAACACAAGGTCAAACAAACACGCAAGTTATCGCAAGTTTATCTGTAAAAAGGAAGCTACTAACTACTAAATGCAAGGCCTGCCAGCGAAGAGGGGCGGGGCACGAAATGATCGTTAACTTTGAATACAAGAGATTGTCCTTGTGCAAAGCAAGTGATGAGCCCATTTTGCACGTTCAAGAAACAACATCGACAACTCCAAGCAGAAATCTTTAGACAATACTAACAAGAAGCTACTAGGGGCTCCTGGCATCGCTACTAGGAGCAAGAACGCTACTAGGAGCAAGCTAACTCCAAGCGTTCGGGTTCAGTGCCGAGGGTCTCCGGCCGATCTCCAACAGTCGCATCACCGGCTCCAGACGTAGAGCTTTCCATTTGATCGAGAGTCAGAGCTGCTCAAGCGAAGTCATCGCCTAACGCAACGAAACCAAAAATGGAGTCTTTAAAGAGCGATGGCCTGGCCTCTAGCTACTAATAGCTTCTTGTTACTGGTAAGGCCAGGAGCGACCCTAGTAGCGTCCGATCGCTCCATTCGTAGCGATGCCCTTTGCTCCTAGTAGCGATGCCCTTACTTTGCTCCTAGTACGGAACATTGCCTCCAACCAGCCGAAGTCATCGTCCATCAGTGTTTCTCAAACCTCGTCAAACCATCCGTCAGAGCCGAAAGAGGCTCTCTAATAGCCGATCCACGGAAGAGGACGGTTCCTTCGAGTGATTTGGAACGGTTCCGAAAAAATCAGCAAGGACGCTAATAGAGTAGCAAAGGGCATCGCTACGAACGGAGCAAGGACGCTACGAACGGGGCTCCTGGCATCGCTACTCGAGGTTTTCTGTCCATCTTCACGATCTTTCTGTTGCAGCGCCCCAAAGAAACTTGCACTGTTGCGTGCTTTTTGCTTCTCCATTTTGGTCTTGAGCTTCTCTGTCTTTGAGAGAGCCATTGTTTCCAGCAGCATGGACATCAGAAAGATCACCAAAAGCGCCTTAGGTCGGCTAATTGGTTTCACAGTTTTCTCCAACCGAATCACGAACGGCTTTGGCAAGACGAGACGCCAGATGTGCCCGCTGAAGCGTCGGCAACGCCTCCGCCTCCGGCTGGATGTTTCCCTGGCACATCTGGAACACCTCGGGCCCCGTGCAACGCGACTTTTCATCGATATCGATTGTATAATAGTATACCCGATCGTATACGAACTTCAATACTTCAAGAATAAACCCAGTGACCTCTAACTGAACTTCAAGTTACTTACCCCTTCTAATGAAGACTTACAACGAGTAACCAAAAGGACGCTACGAGTTCGAGGCGACCCGGGTATCGCGACTCGAGTCGGACGCGAACCGAACGGAGCCCAAAGGTCCTAGTAGATTCCTTTGCTATATTTGAATTCTAATTAAACTTAATTACTAATTATTCTTGTTTCTACTAGCTTCTTGTTGCTAGTAGTAAGGCCCTTGCTCCCAGTAGCGATGCCAGGAGCCCCGTTCGTAGCGTCCGATCGCTCCATTCGTAGCGATGCTCAAGCAAACGCGTTTCGTTCGCTTCCTTCGGGACTCCCGGCAGCTCTCACCGAGACGGCAAAGCAAGGCGTACCGCCCAAGAGCAACACCTGGACAGGACTGGACTCGGAGCACAACGGAGCACCCAGCTTGTCGGTCGGAAGACAAGGAATTCGTGTCACATGTTGGACTTGGTGGACTTCGTTTCGGAGAAAAGGATGGCTTGAGTCTAATATAGTTTGCGATTTGGGAGGCCCATCGCTACTAGGGTGGAGGCCAATACTACTAGGAACAAGAAGCTACTAGGAACAAGTGCCTTACTAGTAGTAACAAGAAGCTAGTAGAAACAAGTGCCACGCTAGTAGTAACAAGTGCCTTACTACTAGGAACAAGAAACTACTAGTAAGCTAGAAGCTATTTGGTTGGCGATCGGACTCCCGTCTCAGGCCACCACTGCACAGGTGCCAAGGTGGTAGACTGCCGGACTGTCAAGTCTTGACGACACTTTTGTCGCCTCGCACCTCAGAATTCTGCTTCAGGTGTGGTGAAAGACAAAACCACGTGGTGGTTTTGGACAAAAACTTGTCTCGTAAGCGTTTTCAGCTTGAGTGCGATGCCAAGTCCAAGAGCCTCAAAGGCGAGGAAAGCCGTTCATGGCCAAAAGTTTGACACAAATGACTACAAAAGTTGTTTGCAACAATATCAAGTCAAATCTTACGCAATTCTTCTGCTATAGCCGTCTGCGAGCTCCAAAAAGGTGTCGGCTTGAGAGATTCCATAGGATGGAAAGACCCGAGAAAAGCACCGGGATCCTGAGGAGCATCAAGCAGTGAGCGAAAACCAGGAATCAAATTGAATGAAATGAAACACGTTAAAGGTCTAAAGGTTTTTAAAGGGATGTGGCGAGGATGTCGGAGGAGTCTATTGGAGTCCTTTCAAAAGTAAAGAAAGACAACAGAAATTAGAGAAATAACAAACACACATGAAAAAACACCCATGATTCAAACTTCACGCTAGTAGTAACAGGTGCCTTACTAGTAGTAACAAGAAGCTATTAATTAGAATTCTAGTTAAATTCTTATTACTAGTAGTAAGGCACTTGTTACTAGTAGCTTCAGACTTGAGGGTAAATGCACGGACCCAAGGCACACGACCCGCAAAGAAAAAGGGAAGCTCGTGAGGCTCGGCCTCAAATCGCTTTTTCGCCGCTTCGTTGCTTCGCTGCTTTTGCTGCTTTTTCGTCCTGGTTCCTCGTAAGGCCAGGAGCCCCTAGTAGCGATGCCAGGAGCCCTTAATAGCGTCCTTGTTCCTAGTAGCGTTCTTTTGTCTTGATTTTGCCACGTTTCCGGGGCTGCCACAAGAGGGTGCAGTAGTAAGTTTTGGCCTCCAAAACACATTCCAAAGCCCACGGCAAACAGAAATACGGAAACCAAAGCCCACGGCTCTGTCAGCTTCACCAAAGTCGAACACTGCGTCGACGGCCAACCTTTGCAACTGACCCCAAACGTCTTCCGTGAAACACCAAAAGCTACTAGGAACAAGTGCCACGCTAGTAGTAACAGGTGCCTTACTAGTAGTAACAAGAAGCTACTAATTGTTATTACTAAGTAAGAATACTCCTAGTAGCGTTCTGGTTCCTAGTAGCGATGCCAGGAGCCCCGTTCGTAGCGTCCGATCGCTCCGTTCCTAGCGATGCCCTTTGCTACTAGTAGCGCTCCACTTGGCCTTGTCTCTTTCAGGTTCCGACATCCCAAGCAAACTGCTGATCCCCACCACCTTATGACACGTCAAAGGCCTTCCCACACGTCAACGCTTCTGGACCGAACATCCACACCCACAGTAACAAGACGCTACGTTCGGGGCTGGCATCGCTACTAGGAACAAGGGCCTTACTAGTAACAAGAAGCTATTAGAAACAATAATTAAAAGTATATAATTAGAACAAAATTAGAATTGAATTCAACATCCACACCCTACACATGCATCTAAACATCAAGTCAAGGTGAAATACATGATTTGAAACACGTCGCTAATTACTAGGAACAAGGACGCTACTAGAGACTCCTGGCCTCGCTACTAGGAGCAAGAACGCTACTAGGGGCTCCTGGCCGTACTACTAGGAGCAAGAACGCTACTAGTAACAAGGTTCGCTACTAGGAGCAAAAACCATCGTTGAAAGCTTTGGGCCCTGCAGACCACGGGCACTTCAGAGTGGGAACTGTCATGGGAGGCACTGGTGGCTGTTGCGTTGAATTGGGCTGATGCTCATGCAATTCATGCGGCCAACAAAGTGCAAATGCAGTGCACTGCTTACTAGCAATGGCCTCCAACCTAATAGCACTGCCTCCATGATGACGAATAGAATCTTTTTCTGCGCTTGCTTGATCCTAAAAAACAGCATCTGGAAGTGTGCGTTGCTTGAGGCAAAGCATTCCAAACCTACTAAGGGATGCCTCCAACGATGCCTCCTACGAGGAGGACCTGTGGAGCAAATTTGCTGGACCGGAGCTGCGGCAAGCGATGCGTGCTTTTTCGAGGCTGGGCTGCGGTGGAGCTGTACCAACGCTGTGAAGTCGCAAAAACCAAGAGAAGGACGCTACTAGGGGCGCCTGGCCTTAGTACTAGGAGCAAGAAGCTACTAACTAGGGGCCCCTGGCCTTACTACTAGGAGCAAGAAGCTACTAGGGGCT